GGCTATTAATTGCTGCCTCAACTTCAGCCCTTGTTATTGGTCTATTCAGGGTTTCAACTTCTTCCTGATTTGGTGTTGGGAGTGTGCAGGTGTCCAGGAATTTATCAATTTCTTCCAGGTCTACTGGTTTATGTGCATAGAGTTGTTTGTAGTAATCTCTGACAGATTGTATTTCTGAGGAATTGGTGGTGATCTCCCCTTTATCTTTTTTTATTGCATCTATTCAAGTCTTTGCTCTTTTCTTTTTTACTAGTCTAGCTAGTGGTTTGTCTATTTTGTTGATCTTTTGGAAAAAAACCAAAAAAAAAAAAAAAAACGGTTCCTGGATTTATTGATTTTTTGAAAGGTTTTTGTGTCTCTATCTTCTTCAGTTCTGCTCTGATCTTAGTTATTTCTTGTCTTCTGCTAGCTTTTGAGTTTTCTTTGTCTTGCTCCTCTAGCTCTTTCAGTTCTGATGATAGGATGTTGATTTTTAGATCTTCCCTTGCTTCTCATGTGAGCATTTATTGCTATAAATTTTCCTCAAGACACTACTTTAAATGTGTCCCAGAGATTCTGGTATGTTGTATCTTCATTCTCATTGGTTTTGAAGACCATTTTTATTTCTGCCTTTATTTCACTGTTTATCCATTCTTCACTCAGGAGTAGTTGTTCAGTTAGTGTGATTGTGTGGTTTTGAGTGCTTTTCTTAATCCTGAGTTCTAATTTGATTGTACTGTGGTCTGAGAGACTGTTTGTTATTATATCCGATCTTTTGCATTTCCTGAGGAGTAATTTACTTCCAAATATGTGGTCAATTTTAAAGTGTGATGTGGTGCTGAAAAGAATGTGTATTCTGTGGATTTGGGGTGGAGTGTTCTATAAATGTCTTATTAGGTTCACTTGGTCCAGATCTGTGTTCAAGTCCTGGTTATCCTTGTTGACTTTCTGTCTCGTTGATCTGCCCAATATTGTCAGTGGAGTGTTAAAGTCTCCCACTACTATTGTGCAGGAGTCTAAGTCTCTTTCTAGGTCTTTAAGAACTTGCTTTATGTACCTGGTGCTCCTGCATTGGGTGCATATATATTTAGGAAAGTTAGCTCTTCTTGTTGCATTGATCCTTTTACCATTATGTAATGCCCTTATTTGTCTCTTTTGATCTTTGTTGGTTTAAAATCAATTTTATCAGAGACTTGGATTACTACCCCTGCTTTTTTTGGCTGTCCATTTGCTTGGTAAATCTTCCATCCCTTTATTTTGAGTCTGTGTGAGTCTTGGCACATGAGATGGGTCTCCTGAACACACCACACTGATCGGTCTTGACTTTTTATCCAGTTTGCCAGTCTGTGTCTTTTGATTGGGGCATTTATGCCACTTACATTCAACGTTAATATTGCTATGTTTGAATTTGATCCTGCCATTTTGTTACTGGCTGGTTGTTTGCCTATTTGTTGACATGGTTTCTTCATTGCATTGTTGTTCTTTACCAATTGGTACATTTTTGCAGTGGCTGGTACTACTTGTTCCTTTCTATGTTTAGTACTTCCTTCAGGAGCTCTTGTAAGGCAGGTCTTGTAGTGATGAAAACTCTCAGCGATTGCTGGTCTGTAAAGGATTTTGTTTCTCCTTCACTTATGAAGCTTAGTTTGGCCAGATATGAAATTCCTGGTTGAAAGTACTTTCCTTTAAGAATGTTGAATATTGGCCCCCACTCCCTTCTAGCTTCTAGGGTTTCTGCCAAGAGATCCACTGTGAGTCTGATGGTCTTTCCTTTGTGGGTGACTCAACCTTTCTGGCTGCCCTTAGGATTTTTTCCTTCATTTCAACCCTGGTGAGTCTGATGATTATGTGCCTTGGGGTTCCTCTTCTTGAGGAGTATCTTTGTGGTGCTCTCTGTATTTCCTGGATTTGAATATTGGCCTGCCTTGTTAGGTTGGGGAAGTTCTCTTGGATAATATCCTGAAGAGTGTTTTCCAGGTTGGATTCATTCTCTTCATCACATTCAGGTACGCTGATCAAGCGTAGATTAGGTCTTTTCATATAATCTCATATTTCTTGGAGGCTTTGTTCATTTGTTTTCACTCTTTTTTCTCTAATCTTGCCTTCTCATTTTAGTTCATTGATTTGATCTTCAATCTCTGATATCCTTTCTTCTGCTTAGTCGATTTGGCTGTTGAAAGCTTTGTATGCCTCACAAAGTTCTCTTGCCATGTCTTTCAGCTCCATCAAGTCATTTATGTTCTTCTCTAAGCTGTTTATTTTAGTTAGCATTTCATCCAGCCTTTTTTCAAGGTTCTTAGTTTCTTTGCATTGAGTTAGAACATGGTCTTTTACCTCAGAGAAGTTTGTTATTACCCACCTTCTGAAGCCTGCTTCTGTCAGTTAGTCAAACTCAATCTCTGTCTTGTTCTGTTCCCTTGAGGAGTTGTGATCCCTGGGAAGAGATTAGGTGTTCAGGTATTTGATGGTTTCATCCTTTTTGCACTGGTTTCTTCCCGTCTTTGTGGATTTATCGCCCCTTGATCCTTGAAGTTGGTAATTTCAGGAGGAATCTCTGAGTGGATGTCCTTTCTGTTGAGGTTGGAGCTGTACCTTTTTTGGCCTGTAGAGGTTCTGCTGGGCTGCCTTGGATTCAGTCAGGCTGCTGGTGGGTGGTCTTCCCCTGGAGTTTGTTTAGGCAGGTGAGTTTAGGCCTGCCTTCCCAGTGACATCTTTCCTTCCCCAATCTCAATCTTCTTGGTTAGGGTCAAACTGGTGTATTCACTGTGAAGCTCTCTAGCATGTGGGCTTCAGTTTGAGTTTTGTAGGGGTGGGGCCTGACAGGCCTTATGGCCTGTTCCCCTGCTTTCAACTCTGCCTTTCTGTGGGACGGTAGTTCCATCCCACTGGCATTAGTCCAAATTTCTGCCCAGGTCCGTGCCGACAACTTGCAGCATCAGGTGGGAGCTGTCGCTCAGATTTGCATTGACAACCCACAGCACCCCTCAGTGGCTCTCATGGACCGTGAGTTGCAGGAGGGATGAGGGAAGTGCAAGATCTGAATTGGAGCACCAAAGGGTGAAGGCTCAGACCCCCCAAGCTGGCTACATGTTCCAGGTGGGGACGTGCCCTGCCCTGTCTTGGTTCACCCTCCCTGGGCTGCTCTTGCCCTCCTTTGACTTGCCTTCCCTGGGCTATTTTCAGTGTCCTGCCAGTCCCACTGAAATGAACCCAGCACCTCGCTTGGACTCGGGAAGTCCTCTAGCCCTCTGTGGCTCATTCACTGGGAGCTGCATTCCAGTGTTGCCTCCTCTTGGTCATCTTGGTGCCCGCCTCTGAATTTTTTTTTAACTGAAACAATAGAAAACAAGCTGATACTATTCATAGTTTTTAATTAGATAAAGAAGTATTATATTCTTATATAATCAAATATACTGTCAAATTAGTAGGCAGTATTACTTGAGTGTTTCACAGACTATGCCACAGGACACCCAAAACTACCAAAGTGCCCTAAAAAGACAATGAGTCTAGAATTAGATTCATTGCATTTCACATCAATACTGCTAAAAATTTGCTTCAAAGACTGACTCGATTATTTGGCTCTGAATTAATTTCTGATTTAATTTTTTTCCTCCTTTTAAAAAAGGTTTTTATTTCCATAGGTTTTTGGGAAACAGGTGGCAATTGGTTACATGAGTGAATTCTTCAGTGATGATTTGTGAGATTTTGGTGTGCCCGTCACCCGAACAGTATACACTGAACCCGATTTGTAGTCTTTTAGTCCACAATCCCCTTCTACCCTTTCCCCTGAGTCCTCAAAGTCCATTGTATTATTCTTATGTCTTTGCATCCTCATAGCTTAGCTCCAAGTTATGAATGAGAACATATGATGTTTGGTTTTCCATTCCTGAGTTACTTCACCTACGATAATAGTCTCCAATTCATTCATTTTTATGACTGAGTAGTATTCCATCATATATATATATATGTATATATATATATATATATATGCACACACACACATACACACACACACACACACACACACCCCTCACAGTTTCCTTATCCACTTGTTGATTGATGGGAATTTGAGCTGGTTTTATATTTTTGTAATTGCGACTTATGTTGCTGTAAATATGCATGTGCAAGTATCTTTTTCAGATAATGACTTCTTTTCCTCTGGGTAGATACTCAGTAGAGGGACTGCTGGACCAAATGGCAGCTCTTCTTTTAGTTTAAGGACTCTCCACACTGTTTTTCATAGCGGTTCTAGTAGTCTACATTCCACCAGCAGTGTAGAAGTGTTCCCTTTTCACTGCATCCATGCAAAACATGTTATTTTAAATTTTTTTATTATGGTCTTTCTTGCAGGCATAAGGTGGTATTGCATTGTAGTTTTCATTTGCATTTCCTTGATCATTAGTGATGCTGAACATATTTCATTATAAAAACAAACAAACAAACAAAAAAAAAAAACACTTCTCTTCTCACATACAGTGAGTTTCATTTTCCTTTTCCTGAGCTCCAATTTCTTTTTAGAATTACTTCATTTGGCATCACTAATAGGCAAGTTTCCCCATTTTTCTGGATTTGGTAACATCACAACCCTATGCCGTTTTTCCTTGACTTTTCATTAAATCGTATCACCTCTTCCTACTATTCTCTTTAGTCTCTAACATGTAATAGGTAATTCTTCAAATATTCAGTCAAGAATTAGGGCCACTAAGTAACATTATTTTTTATCCTAAGTCTCTGATAAGATTTTGTAAGCAAAATTACAACCTTGCTTAATAAGCCAGAAATTTTAATGGATTTGAAACGTACTCTGTGTACTTTTTATAAGTGTTATTTTCTATCCAGTAAACAGGAAAATTAAGTTTGAAGGAAAATACAAAATGAAATTAAATGCACCGGTGAAGCCAGGAGCTGAACAATCTCTCAACTTTTGGCCACTGGTCTATGACACTGTACATGAACGGACAGGAATCTTAAGTGTCTGACATAGAGTACCTCTCTAAAATTACTGTGGTATTTGTTTACAGATGCATCGGATATGGAGCTGAGGCTTGTGGGTGGAAGCAGCAGGTGTGCTGGAATAGTTGAGGTGGAAGTCCAGGGAGCCGTGGGAATTTTGTGTGCTAACAACTGGAGAATGAACATTGCTGAAGTTGTTTGCAGGCAACTTGAATGTGGGTCTCCAGTCAGTGTCTCCAGAGAGGCTCATTTTACAAGAAGAACACTGCGCATCTCACTATCTAATTCTCGCTGCACTGGAAAGGAAGCCTCTATCTGGGATTGTGTACGATGGGAGTGGAAACAGACCATTTGCCCTTTAAATATGGAAGCAAGTTTGATCTGCTCAGGTAATTCCTGGACAAAGATAAACACGTTTATTTGATTATTTCTTTTTGCAATTACTCAATACATATTGATGACATGGCTACTTAACAATATTAGGTCAAAAGTAAATGAACTAGATAAAAGCAATCCTACCCTCTTATCTAGAAGATGTGTATAATAAAAATATATAATAAAATAATTATTTAAAATTGTATGAAGTAGAAGCACAAGATGAAATGAGAAGGCATAATTAGAAGCTATTACCTATTTGTAGAGTCGGAAAATATTTCTGTGACGTGATAGTTAAGGAAAGACGGGAAGGATATGTATGATTTAATCATATGAAGAAGTGTTGGGAAGATTACTTAAAACAGTAGTATTTTATTCAAGTACCACACTTGGGAATGAACTTGTGTTATTCCAGGAACTAAAAAATGGTTTAAAGAAGAGGTATTAGATCGAAGTGAACGAGGGGGAAAAGTTATAATAAAGTCTTGATATCTAGGCAAGGGCAAGGTGATTTGCAGAACAGGAATTTTGGACTTTATTCTAAAGTGAATGGTAAACTATTGAAGGTTGTCAGCATGATAAAACTTGCATTTCAAAGACAGCACTCTGGCTGCAGAATGTGTGCGTGTGTGTGTGTGTGTGTGTGTGTCTGTGTGTGTGTGTGTGTGTGTGTGTGTATGTGTTGGAAAGAGGAGGCTATTGGATGCAGGGAGTCACGTTGTTGAATAATTCTAGGGATGATTTGGAATTGTGATTAGCCTGCTCATTATGAAGCTGAAACCAACAAATGTGGAAATAAAGATAAATATTTCTATATTAAGTAGATGGGTATACTGCAGTTTCATCATCTGGAAAGATAATCTTGGAAGAGAAGCTGGTGGCCGGGCGCGGTGGCTCAAGCCTGTAATCCCAGCACTTTGGGAGGCCGAGGCGGGGGGATCACGAGGTCGAGAGATCGAGACCATCCTGGTCAACCTGGTGAAACCCCGTCTCTACTAAAAATACAAAAAAATTAGCTGGGCATGGTGGCACGTGCCTGTAATTCCAGCTACTCAGGAGGCTGAGGCAGGAGAATTGCCTGAACCCAGGAGGCGGAGGTTGCGGTGAGCCGAGATGGCGCCATTGCACTCCAGCCTGGGTAACAAGAGTGAAACTCCGTCTCAAAAAAAAAAAAAAAAAAGAAAAAGAAAAGGAAGAGAAGCTGGTTAGAGAGGGTGGGATGATGAATCCAATTTTGTATGTGTGCAATGTGAGGTGACGGTAAGGCAGTCATCAAATGAAGAGGGTTAGAGGGAAGTGGATATAAGATCTATGTGATCAGAAGATTTGTCTTGAATGGAGATATAACTATTAGAATCCTAGAGACGTAGATGAAAACTAAATCTAGGAATAAAATGTAAATTGAGAATTTTAAAAGCCCAGATCCAAGAAGAATGAGCTCTTAGCCCTGAAGAACAATAATATTTAATGGTTTACTGACATAAAAGAAGTCGGAAAAGCATACTGAGGAGGAGTGGTTGCAGAATGTCACATCACTAAAACCAAGGGAAGAAAATGTTTCAAAAAGATGGGGAAATCAATTCTGGAAAAAACCTAAGAGGCCAATATAGATGAAACTAAACAATTTCCACCAAGGTTAGCAACAGAGAAGTCATGAATAAATTTAATAAAAGTAGTTCTGTCACAATAGAAAAGGGAGATCATTTTGTAAGGTTTATTGCTGAGGTAAAATGAAGAAACTGAGGCAAGTATAAGAAAATGAGAAGCTAATTTATTTAGCTTCCGAGCGAGGTTCTGTGGTCTAGGAAGGGGCCAAAGAAGTTCCCCCTGGCTGTTTAGGGCGTGGGGTTTTATGCAGAGGGAAGGCAATTGATTGGCTATTGGGGAAAAAGCGTGAAGGCAATTTTATTGGCTGTTGAGATGCAGGAAATACCTGGAGCTAGTTGCCATTGGTGGGTGGGCGGGACCTTGGGTAAGTGGGCCTGCTGGGAGGTCGGGGCAGACTGCTACTGGGCAGGGTTTGGTGGGGTTTCTTTTAAAAAAAATTTTCTGCAGGGTGTTTCAACAGTGCGCTGGGGGCTGGATGCATAGTTTAGTGCTGAGTGTGGGCTTGGGTCTGGTATGCGGAGGCGGGTGCAGGGAAGCCATGCGGCCAGGCCAGATAACGAGCTTGGGTGATGATGCCCTTATCAGACACGGAGAGAGATGGATGTGTCCGTTTAACCCTCTGCGAGGCAGCCGGCCTTACACATTTCAAGTTGGGAAGGAAATGGGAGGTAAAGATGTTAGGATAATAGGCATAGATTATTTCCAAAAAGTTGAATTTTAAGGCAAATAGATAACGTAATGACTAAAAAGGAATATAATCTCCAGGGGAGTCATTCCATTTTTTTTTTTTATGGATAGGAGATTCTAGAGTAGTACTGTTCAAAAGAACATCACTAGCTGTGAGGAAGTAAAATATGTGCTACTAGCGATGTTAGAGGGCTATAGAAAAAAATAGAACTAGAAAATAGAATTCAGAGTGTTTATAGGACAGAATGAAATTCCAAATAAAATGACTGAGGTAGGCCTTACTTAAAAGGTGAAACATAGACAAAGACTTGAAGGGGATGAGAGGGTCAGTTGTGTGCATATATGCAGAAGGAAAATACAAATGGAGATGCAGCCAGTTCAAAAGCCTTGGGGCAGGATTATGCCTGATGTGTTTGAAGAAGAGAAAGGAATCCAATACAGCTGAAGAGCAGTAAGTCAAACATCAGGACATAGCACCAAAACAGGTAAATGAGCAGGGGAAGGTCACTCAGGGACAGGTAGGTCTTCATAAGAGTTTAAGTTTTTACTCTGAGTGAAATTTAGAGTTATGGGAGGATTTGGGGCAGAATACTGATTTCACCTCATAGATCATTTTAAATGACCTCTTTGGATTTTTACTTTTTAGAAGATGAACTATAGAGGAATAATTATAGAAATAGGGAATCTGTAGGAATCTATTACAGTAACTCAGGCAAGTAATGGTGGTGGTTCAATCCAGGTGCTAAGGTTGATGGGGTGAGAAGTTTTGGGATTGTGGACATACTTTGAAAATGCAGAAAACAAAACCTTCTGAAAGGCAAGATATATTACGTAACAGAAGTCAAGAATTATTTCGAAATATTTGAGTCTCTGGAATGATGGAGTTGCATCAATAAAAATATGGAAGTCCGCAGCCTTAGATAGGTGCTTGAAAGGACTCCAAGGAATTCACACTGAGATGTCTGTAGGAAATCCAAGTGGAAATGCTAGACGGAAATTGGATAAATGAGTCAGGAGTTTGGAACAACGCCTGGGTTGGAGACAGACAACTTACATTACTAATGTAAGTAGTTTTGCCGCAAAGAATAGAGTCAGAATAATGGGCAGCATTTTTTGGTTGTTTATGAATTATTCATTTAGATAGATTCCTGGGGTCTGACCTAGTAGGTAGAAGTCCTATTCTTATTTTATACCATCTTGTTAAGATGACTACAAATCTTAATATATACTGTTTAATGCTGAGGTTACTCAGTCAGTGTTTTTCAATGTGAACAAATTGTACAATTCATTTCCTTCAGTTCTAAATCTAGGATTGGTGGGTCACCAAGACATAGAAAATAGGTATGTAATCCAAATCTGTGAGCTCAAGTCTGTACTGCAAATATTATTCTCTGAGCCCCTACGAATGGGATGGTCTAATGAATGGAGAAAAACTGCCCTGGAGATTTGAGACAGGGTTGGATATTGGAAAACCCGAAAAACTAACCTTTGAAATGCTATTTTGTAGCCCACAGGCAGCCCAGGCTGGTTGGAGCTGATACGCCCTGTTCTGGACTTGTTGAAGTGAAACATGGAGACACATGGGGCTCTGTCTGTGATTCTGATTTCTCTCTTCCTGCTGCCCATGTGCTGTGCAGAGAATTAAATTGTGGAGAGGCCATATCTCTTCCTGTGGGAGCTCACTTTGAAAAAGGGAAAGGTCTAACTTGGGCCGAAAAGTTCCAGTGTGAAGGGAGTGAAACATACCTTGCATTATGCCCCACAGTTCAACATCCAGAAGACACTTGTTTCCACGGCAGAGAAGTTGGAGTTGTCTGTTCTCGTGAGATTTTTAATAATCTTAATTGGTCGGGGCTGGAGAAGGGGCGTATGGGGCTGGAGCTGATACGTCATGATGTCTCTTCTATGGCCCTGTCTCCCCCAGGATATACAGATGCCCGACTTGTGAATGGCAAATCCCAGTGTGAGGGTCAAGTGGAGCTCAAGGTGTTTGGCTATTGGGGCGCACTGTGTGACACCCACTGGGACCTAGAAGATGCGCATGTTCTATGCAGACAGCTCAGCTGTGGGGTTGCTGTCTCAACCACAGGAGGAAAATATATTGGAAAAGGAAGTGGTCGTGTCTGGGGACACCGTTTTCATTGCTCAGGGAATGAGTCAGTTCTGGATAGCTGTCCAATGACAGTTCTTGGAGCACCTCCCTGTATCCATGAAAATACTGTCTCTGTGACCTGCACAGGTAAGAGAACAGTGCTTATGGTCCGCTACTGTCAACATAGCCCAGATATGGGAGTGTGGGATTAGAGGAAAGAGGGGTAGGAAAATGGGGGCAGGTGGAAGGAGGATAGGCATGACAGTCAGAGTAACATGTAAGAAATAAAGGTAACTAGGGCCATTCCTAGGGTGAAGTTAACACCTCTGTGTTTGGGATTTAAGAGTAGACATTATTAATAAAAATGATTTCAATAGACGACAGGGTTTGAAAAGTCCTTATCATGATTGCTCATCCCATGTTATCACAGAACTCTTCAATCTTTTCCATGTATTTCGGTCTTACTTTTGCCCTGTTTCCTGCACCCTCCACCAGGAAACCTGACCCAGCCAGTGTTTCTATGCCCTGCAAATTTATCTGACCCATACTTGCCTGCAGTTCCGGAGGGTGGTGTTTTCGTCTGCTCAGGTAAGCAGAATAAGTCTTAGGAAACACAGCAGCTTTATTTTTTTATTTTTATTTTTTATTTTTATTTTTGAGACAGAGTCTTGCTCTGTCGCCAGGCGCCAGGCGCCAGGCTGGAGTGCAGTGGCACAATCTCGGCTCACTGCAAGCTCTGCCTCCCGGTTCAAGCAATTCTCCTGCCTTAGCCTCTCGAGTAGCTGGGACTACAGGCGCAGGCCACCATGCCCAGCTAATTTTTGTATTTTTAGTAGAGATGGGGTTTCATGTTGGCCAGGATGGTCTCGATCTCCTGAATCTCAGGTGATCCACCCCTCTCGGCCTCCCAAAGTGCTGGGATTACAGGCATGAGCCACCGTGCCCGGCCACTGCAGCTTTAAAGAATGTACTTTGGGAGGCCGAAGCGGGTGGATCACGAGGTCAGGAGATCGAGACCATCCTGGTCAACATGGTGAAACCCCGTCTCTACAAAAAATGCAAAAAAATTAGCTGGGCATGGTGGCGCGTGCCTGTAATCCCAGCTACTCAGGAGGCTGAGGCAGGAGAATTGCCGGAACCCAGGAGGCGGAGGTTGCGGTGAGCCGAGATCGCGCCATTGCACTCCAGCCTGGGTAACAAGAGCGAAACTCCGTCTCAAAAGAAAAAAAGAGATTTAGTAACGGGACTTTCTCCTTTAAGAGGACAAGCAGCTCCGCCTGGTGGACGGGGACAGCCGCTGCGCCGGGAGAGTGGCCATCTACCACGACGGCTCCTGGGGCAGCGTCTGTGACGACGGCTGGGGCCTGAGCGAGGCCCACGTGGTGTGCAGGCAGCTGGGCTGCGGCAGGGCCCTCAACGCCACGGTCTCCGCTCACTTCGGGGCGGGGTCGGGGCCCATCTGGCTGGACGACCTGAACTGCACAGGAACGGAGTCCCGCGTGTGGCAGTGCCCCTCCCGGGGCTGGGGGCAGCACGACTGCAGGCACAAGGAGGACGCAGGGGTCATCTGCTCAGGTCTGCGCGGCTACCTTTTCACCCTCCTCCGCACACACGCGCACACACGCGCACACACACAACACAATTGTTAAGTGTAGCGAAAAGTGGCTTAGGAATCCAAACAAAACAAAACAAAAATCCACTTGATTTCAATCCTATTCTGATACTGATTTCTTAATACACTTGTCATATTTCATTTGTCTGGGTGTCATTCAGAACTGAGAAAAAAATAGGAGGTTGGTCTTACTGTCAGAGAAGGTTGGACCCCAAAATAGGGACCTTGTATTACTTGCACTTTGACCTTAAGAAGTCAAGAGACACTGAATAACTTGTCTGAGAATACACTGTCAACTGTGCGCAGTCAGCCATATTTTGTTGTTCTGTTTTGTTTTAGGCTTTTAATAGCCTTCGGCCATGGTTGTTAGTTTCTGTCTCTAGTGGTAAGCGGAAAAGAGGGATGAGGAAGGGGCTTTACTAGCCTGACCAGAAACAGAAACTAAGAACCCACGCCTGTATTCTCTCCCTTGGACGTCCCTGCAAATGGGATCAGCCTCCTGATAATTTTCTGAATCGAATTTATGTTCCAGAGTAGCATGTAGAATGTTGCATTTTAACTTGTTGATACAAGTTTAATGCTCTAATACTATTCTTGGGAAACCCTTGCTAACGCTGAAATCACACAAGACCCTCAGTTTCCATCAGATAATATGCTGTTAATACATTAGAGTGATTGATGGAATTGTAGCGTGAGCCTTAGTACATTATCTCCAGGGGAAGAAATGGATTCCTTGGGGAGGAATTTTCCAACTCCAAAGGAAATATTTCACACTAGGTTTTGTATTTGTCTCTAGAATTCACAGCCTTGAGGCTCTACAGTGAAACGGAAACGGAGAGCTGTGCTGGGAGATTGGAAGTCTTCTATAATGGGACCTGGGGCAGCGTTGGCAGGAGGAACATCACCACAGCCACAGCCGGGATTGTGTGCAGGCAGCTGGGCTGTGCAGAGAATGGAGTCGTCAGCCTCGCCCCTTTATCTAAGACAGGCTCTGGTTTCATGTGGGTGGATGGCATTCAATGTCCTAAAATGCATATCTCCATATGGCAGTGCCTGTCTGCGCCGTGGGAGCGAAGAGTCTCTAGCCCAGCGGAAGAGACCTGGATCACATGTGAAGGTGGGTATCTTTCTAAACACTGGCTGTCACTGAAACCCTGTGGAATATAATTTACCACAAATAGCAAATCTTTCCATCCAGGAACACATGACAGACTCACTGAAAAGTACATGAAAATAAATGCTGATTTATCACATCTGTTGTATATTGAAATTTTATTATTTTGGTTTAGTTTTAAAAGGATAACAACTCATAAACAATGATAGGGTTTTTAAAAATGAAAAACAGAATATGTTTTGTCTTAGAAACTCTAGAAAGCTCAGAACTTTTGAGGAAATGTAAATTATTTGGGGAAATTAAACACCTCTATTTTTTCCTGCAGAACATTTTACTAAGAGAAGTTAGTTGATTATTTATAAGGCACTTGTAAATGTGCTATTTGATTAAAATTTAATATGTTTATTATAGAGATTTTAGAAATTGTACAATTATAAATAATAAATTCATTTCACATTTAATCTGATTATCAAAAATAACCATTACCAATATTCAGAAACATTAACTGTTAGTCTATCTTTTGTTCAAAAACTTAAAGTTATGATTGTGTATATAAAATGTAGATACTATTATATATGTGTATATGTATATACAGTATGATATATATGTATATAATGTATTACAGTATATTTATACATGTATAATACCACATATGCATAAAGTAGGATTTCTGTATCCTACTTTTATATGTAAAAGTATACTATAAATATATTCTAATTTCAATAAATAGCCTTCAAATGGCATGCAATATTTTATCACGTGAACATAAATAATCGTGATTATTGGTTTTAAAGCTATTTCTCAATGTCAAACTAGTAGAAATAATGTCATCATAAGCACCCTTATTCATTTTCAGTGGATCTCTGATTATATCTGAAGGTTATATTTCTAGTCTCATGATGAGTGGGTAAAATAAGTGAACATTTTTTATGTATGTTGATATGTACTAGTTAATTGCTCCAGCAGAAAGCCTATGTGTTAGTTTTCATTCTTATCACCAGTATAGGAGAGCATCAATTTTATTTAACTCTTCCTACCAATGCTACACACAGAGAGAAACACACACGGACATACACGTAATTCCCAAATTAAAATTTCACCTATTTCAAGATAATTTGCATGTATTTGGTTAGTAGTGTATATGGACATTATTTATGAATATTGTCCATTTGTGGTTTATATATATATATATATATATATATATATATACATATATATATATTTTTTTGGGGGGGGGAACGGAGTCTTGCTCTGTCACCAGGCTGGAGCACAGTGGCACAGTCTTGGCTCACCACAACCTCCGCCTCCCAGGTTCAAGCGATTCTTCTGCTTCAGCCTTCCAAGTAGCTGGGACTGCAGGCATGTACCAAACGCCCGGCTAATTTTTGTATTTTTAGTAGAGATGGGGTTTCATCATGTTGGCCAGGATGGTCTCGATCTCTTGACCTCGTGATCCACCCTCCTCGGCCTCCCAAAGTGCTGGGATTACAGGCTTGAGCCACTGCGCCCGGCCTGTGGTTTATATTTTTAAGCACTTTGCTTCCTTTTACTATTGTAATTTTATCACATAATATCATTCCTCAAACAAGAATTTGAAAAAAAAAAAAAAAAAAAGGAAATCTTGAAAAAATACAAATATCACCTATAATGCTATGATCAGTTGATGCTATATTAGCTGAAGTTATACTCTTGCGTATCATATATGTGTATGTATTTTATATATATTCATGTATTTTATTGCAAAAATGTTATACAATGTGAATTTGTGCTGCTTGCTCTTTTGATTTAGTAATATTTTCTCACACTAAAGGGTATTTCTTTACCATATGATATACCATAATCTCATGCACCACATGCCTGTGATTGGACGTTTAGAAAATTCAAGTTATTTTTCCGTTTTAGTTAACATCACATTAAATAGCCTTGAGCATACAGAAAATTATTTTAGGCATATTTCTCAATATTTGCTTTCCAAAATCTATTTTTCCATTTAATCAATTATATTACCTGAAATTTTGGATTTCAATTATCTTAAGTTTTAATTTTCCATGTTTTACATGGAAATCTTGCATCTATATGAATATGAATGATACTATGCCATAGATTTTCTTTAGTCCTCTCTCTATATTTGTTGATTTTAGTACTGGATTCGTTGCAATATAAAATTACTAGGATAAATTCTGCCAGCTTGTATGATCTTTAATAATACATGGCATAAAATTACATTTCAATATTTGAGAGAGATAACTATAGCTATTTTGGATGGGAATTCGTTATTACTTAAAGAGAATGTCTAAGACTACTGGGTTAATCTCATTATCTTGAGCCAATTTTGTGAAAGGATTAAAGAATGTGTTAGTCAGTTCTCATGCTGCTAATAAAGACATACCCGAGGCTTAATGGACTCACATGGTTGGGCAGGCCTCACAATCATGGCGGAAGGCAAAGGAGGAGAAAAGTCACGTCTTAACATGGTGGCAAGCAAGAGTGTGTGCAGCGAATCTCCCCTTTATAAAACCATCAGCTCTTGCGAGACTTATTCACTATCACAAGAACAGCACAAGAAAGACCCAGCCCATGATTCAATCACCTCCCACGAGGTCCCTCCCACAACACGTGGAAATTATGGGAGCTACAATTGGAGGTTTGGTTGGGGACAGCCAAACCATAGCAAAGAAGTAGGATTAAAAAACATACTCTGAATTTATTATGAGATAGCCATCCAGTGATGCACTCTGTATTAGTAGGAGGTAGAAGCTAGTCTAAAAGTATTTATTAATGAGACAGAGATTCACAGAAATGAAGAGAAAAAATAAATCAAACTCTTTCAAGATGTTTGGCTATGAGAGAGAAAAGGGTTAACATGGTAACTGGAGAGGGGCTCTTATGACCAGGAGAAAGAAGATTTTTTAAAGGGTGCATGTGAAAGCTATCAGGTTAATTGACTTGGGGATGAGATGTTTAGATCGAAAAGCCCTTTGGAATAGAAGACAAGTTACCTAAAAGTTCATTATCTACTGAAACTTTAGCTTTTCCTGTGCTATTACGGAAACTAAAGTTCAGTAGAGAAATCCTGAGATTCTCTTTTGGTCTTCATGTTGTTGGTGGGCAGAGGCTTCGAATATGAAAGAACATTTCACAAAATAATGAAGAATGAGAAATAAAAATGATAATATCATTCTAAAATATTGAGGATTCTGCAGACTTTTTTTGACAGCAAGTTTAAAATGACCCCAGTTACAATTATCTGCAGTGAAACTCAGTATTTCAGGAACTGGCTTGAAGGAGGTAGAGAGTTAGTTTACCCTGCATTTGTACACAGCCATGTGGGTGTGAGGAGAGGTCACTAGTGCCAAGGCCTTGTTCATTTGGGAAAGAGGATGTTTGTAGTTATCATCTTAGTACATGTACTTTACGAGGAGTGAAGCGAAGTCAAGAAAGGACTGATAATCGGAGGGCGTCGAAGAAGCAACAGTCTATAGATCAGACTTGAGCCAAATGAACATCAGTTATAGTTGGAGAAATAGTGAAAATGAGAGGGGCAAAATAGGGTGTTTGGGTCAGATAGGACATTGAACTTTGGAAAATGAAATCAATATGTTTCGTTTTCAAACATCTAGAGTAGAAGATAAATATCTGGTGTGGCCTCGCTGGAGATGCTTCACCCCTTGACTGTGGCTACGACCAACCACAGTCATGTGTAGGGGCTTATTCACTTTACAGGTTATTCTCTCCTTTTTTTTCTTTTTTTTAACACGGTGTTTCACCATGTTGGTCAGGCTGGTCTTGAACTCCCAACCTCAGGTGACCCGCCCGCCTTGGCCTCCAAACTGCTTGGATTCCAGGCGTGAGCCACCGCGTTACGGGTTATCCCCTAATCTACGTGACTGAAATTCCGCCTTCCTTACCACACCCATCTTCATCAAACACATTCACCACCTTCAAGTTTTTCTACCTCAGCGTTCTCCCACACCCTCCTTCAGGAGTCAAGACGGCAATGTTTTGTGCCTTCGTAGATAAAATCCGAGTGCGTGGAGGGGACACGGAGTGCTCTGGAAGAGTGGAGATCTGGCACGAAGGCTCCTGGGGCACGGTGTGCGATGACTCCTGGGACCTGGCCGAGGCGGAGGTGGTGTGTCAGCAGCTGGGCTGCGGCTCTGCCCTGGCTGCCCTGAGGGACGCTGCGTTCGGCCGGGGAACTGGACCCATCTGGTTGGACGAGATGCAGTGCAAGGGGAATGAGTCATTTCTATGGGACTGTCGTGCCCAACCCTGGGGACAAAGTGACTGTGGACACAAGGAAGATGCTGGTGTGAGGTGCTCTGGTAAGTGTAAAAAGGCTGCACTCACTGGTAAGTGTAAAAAGGCTGCACTCACACTGAGCCTCCTACTAAGGGTAAAGGACATGGGGAAACAGCCTCAGATAGTTGAGCTGAAGTTACTAGGACTTCTTGCTGAAGAATGAAAGGCTGTGTTAAACCAATGATTTTCCCCAACTAAATCAGATAACGTTCCACGGTTATCTAAAAGAGCCACCATAATTTTGAGGGGAAAAAGCTGGATTTAGCCTTAGACTTCCAAGCAAGAGGATTCTGAGTGATATTTTTAAATGACATCCAATAGTCACAGGAGGTGTAAAAAGAACATCCAGTTCCTTTTCTTTCATTTACATCTTCTCTCCCTCTCTCTCTCTCTCTCAGGACAGTCACTGAAATCACTGAACGCCTCCTCAGGTATAGTTTTCTATCAGTGGTATAACCTAAGGTTATATGGAAGGTCAAGGGAGGGCAGAAACTGCTACGATAATCAAAGAAGACTGAGGACTGCAGAAATACGAGACTGCGGATGGCAGCCAGTGGTATCAGTAGCTCTGTGACTGCTTTGCTATGCAACCCTTCTCTCTAGAAAAACCCTTTTTACATGCAGAGAACGATAAGACTCTCGTGCTACCTTCATAGATAGAATTATATCTTTAGGTTCTCAAATAGTCTTTATGAGACTGGCAGAAACAGCTCAAGCTTCAGGGGAATTGCTTAAACCCGGGAGGCAGAGGCTGCAGGGAGCTGAGATCGTGCCACTGCACTCAGCCTGGGTGACGGAGTGAGACTCCATCTCAAAACAACAACAACAACCAAGAAAGAAAGAAAAAGAAACCGATCAGGCCCTAGTATTTTCTGAGTCTGGTGTTTTAGTAGTGAATGCAATGCAAGAGGAAAGGTTTAATTATCGAGTCTTTTGTATAAAATTGGAAGTAATTTAGGGCAATAGAATTACAGAAAGATGTGGTTTCAGTTGTTCCAAGATAGTTTTAATCTAAAATAGCTCTCAGAGATTATGGACTGTTCATGAATATGTTGAAACGTATAGCCATCATTCTTCTCAGCAACTAGGGAACCAGTTTTTTTCCAATGTATAAACCCACACTTGATATTTACCAGTTTAATACTTATCAATGTTTAATTTCTATACAGGTCACTCAGCACTTATTTTTTCTGGTGTCTTTGGGTTCCTTCTCCTGGTTCTGTTTATTCTATTTCTCACGTGGTGTAAAGTTCAGAAACAAAAACATCTGCCCCACAGAGGTGAGAGCCCCATTGGGATTGCATAAAATGTGAGTTACCTGCCACCGAGGGCACGCAGGATGGGGGCTTCCTGCAGAGAGGGAGAAATGCACTGGCCACCTTGAGTGAGATGGATTGGAAAGTACCAGGCCAAATGCAGACACACGTGGAATGATCAAGAAGCAGATAATCCACAATTCTCATTTATACAAATGCCATCTTTTAGAAGCTGTAGCCTGAAATACAGATGATGAGTCAGATAGACAAAGATCTCAGCTCATAGAAGGAAGGTAATTGTATGTTTTGGTTCAGAGTCTAGATTGCAGAAATAACCAATAGAAAATGTGGAAGCATGGTGGAAGATTAAGAACAAGGGTGTACTGGATTTGAACACCACGTATATAATTTACTAGCTGTGTGGCCTTTGGCTAGAAACTACCTTTACAGACTCCAATTTCCTAATTTGTAAAGATAATAACAGTACTAACTCATTAGGTTGTTAAGATAGTTAAATCAATTAATCATCTGTATGAAAAATGACCAGCACATAGTAAATACTATGTAAAGAACTTGGTAATAAAAGTAGAGGAATTTCAATGTTTCAAGAAAAAGGAGAATAAATATTAAAAATACGCTAGCAGGGGTAGGTGCCAAAAAGGCCATTGGATTTTAGCACAGAGGGATTAATACGTGTCAAACGTTAGCATTCACTGTCCTAATATAAGGGATAGGCCATTTGACTCTGAATCCTAACCATGAAGCATCCCTTTTCAGTTTCATCTAGAAGACGGGATTCTCTTGAGGAGACTTTATTCCATGAGATGGAGACCTGCCTCAAGACGGAGGACCCACAGGGGATAAGAACCTCAGGTCTGTGCAACTCCAGGGGCCTCGTTCCATGGAGGGTGGGAATATGAGGCAATTTCACTGATGCTTAGAAATTCTCCTCAATGGAGATGTGTCTCAGCCTCTTATACAAAATCCGCAAAAGGGAAACAAATTGGAAATAGATAAAATATGACTCAAAATTAAGAAAACTGGAATATACATTCTCACTTATTTCATCCTCAGGGTTATATTTAGTTCATGGCAGAGGCACCAAGCAGAGAAGACGGAAATAAAAACTATTATTCCTTTAATAATCAAATATTTTGTCCACAATTTCATTATAGACCCAGTAAACCGTAATTATTTTCCAATTTCATTACATTATTTTTTAATGTGGTGGCCAAGTTCCTTGAATCTTATCTATATTTGTATATTTATAATTATTGTAAAAATAGTTTTATCATGATATATAGGGTGGACAAAACAGTGCAGAAAACTAAACCTTTTTTTGGAAATAACTTGTAGTGGAATTACTGTGACACCATCTGGCAAAGTGACTTTCCAATAGCCATAAAAGATTTTACTCCTCTAAGTTATAAATGAGGATGTATTTTTTCTTTTTTGAGACAGAGTCTCACTCTGTTGCCAGGCACCAGGTTGGAGTGCAGTGGTCCGATCTCAGCTCACTGCAACCTCCGCCTCCCAGGTTCAAGCAATTCTCCTGCCTCAGCCTCCTGAGTAACTGGGACTACAGGCACACACCACCACGCCTAGTTAATTTTCTTTTCTTTTTCTTTTTCTTTTTTTTTTTTTGTATTTTTAGCAGAGACAGGATTTCACCATGTTGGCCAGGAGAGTCTTGATCTCTTGACCTCCTGATTCACCCGCCTCAGCCTCCCAAAGTGCTGGGATTACAGGCGTGAGCCACTGCACCCAGCCATGAGAATGTATTTTACTGAATAATCACTGACGCTAAATACCTTCATCATTTATAACGTTGCTAATTTAGTACTTGACAAGTGGCATCTCACGGTTATTTTTAATTAATATTGTTTTAAAATTTTATTTTTGTATTGAAAATAATGTACATATTTTCTAGGCAGGTGTGATAATTTAGTACATTCATATAATTTATAAAGATCAAATTAGTATAATTGGGGTATCTATCACCTCAAATATTTGTCTTTTCATTACACCAGAAACATCTGAATTATTCTCTTTTAGCTATTTTGAAATAGATTATAGTCACCTTATTGATTATCAAACTCTAGATTTTATTTCTTATAATTGTCTATTTGTACTCAATCAACCTCTCTTTATCCTCCCTTTCCCTTACCGTTCCCAGCCTCTGGTAACCACTAATCTACTCTCTGTCTTCATGGGATCAACAATTTTAGCTCCCACGTATGAATGAGAACATGGATATCTGTCTTTCTGTGCTTGGCTTATTTCATTTAACATAATGACCTCCAGTTCCATCATGTTACTACAAATAACAGGATTCCATATTTTATGGCTGAAAATGTGTGTGTATAGACCCCATTTTCTTTGCTCATTCATTCATTGATGAACATGTAGGCTGATTCCGTATTTTGGCTGTTATAAACAGTGCTGCAATAAACACGTTGCAGTTATCACTTTGAATATATGATTTTCTTTTTTTTCGATGTATACTCAGAAGTGGAATTACTGAATCATATAGCGATACTGTCTTTAGTTTTTTGAGGACCGTCCCTACAGTGTTCCATAATGACTATATTGATTTGCATTCTCATCACTAGTGTGTGAGGGTTCTCCTCTCTTCAGATCCTCGCCAGTATCCAGTATTTCCTGTCTTTTTCCATCTCTGTGTCTCCATTGCTCTTACATTCCTTGCAGTTTGTCCTTTTTTTCCTTTAGATCCTGTAACATATTCATCATAATTGTTTTAAAGTTCTGGTATGATCAGTTCAACATCTCTCTCTTATCTGAGTCTGATCTGATGTTTGCTGTCTCTTCAGACTCTGTTTTTTATCTTTCAGTGTGCCTCGTAATTATTTTGTAGAAAGCCAGATATGATATATAGTGGATACAAAGAATGGAGGTAAAGAGGGTGTTTGTGTAAGGTTTAATATTTACCCGGCTAGGGATTAAGCTGTATTTACTGTTTGCTGTAGCTGGAGGTGTCAGAGGCTAATATTTCCCTGGGGCGCTACTTTTTCTCTCCCCTGTTGTCTTTGGGGTTCCCTAGTGACTTCTTAAATAAGATCTCAGATGTGCAGTTTCATCCATTGTATTTCCCGTTATTTTATAGGACCCCTACTGAAGTGACAGCAAGGTGTTGTGGGAGGGGAAACAGACTATGATTCTGTGATTGAGCCTGTCTCCTAGTGACCCTGTGCCCCTGCACTGTGACCTTCAACGGTGTTCCTAAGGTTTTGTTCCCCTGTTAGCTGAGATAGGAAACCTCAAGGGAGCTGGAGTTGGATATTTCCCTTCCCCCAAGTCAGCTAGGCTCTGGTAAAACCCCAGCCCACTGGACTCTGGAGAAACAGAAACAGGCCTTATTACACAATATTTTATATGTACTTCAAAATGACTACTTTCCCCTCCTCCTGAAAGAAGGCACAAGATGATTTTGCCCCAGTCTTCACTGTGATCACTTGGTAAGGCTTCTAAAGGTAAAACAAAAATGCGGGTCCCCTGGAGTTTTTAACACTGAACTTTTTCCACTCTGAGCCTACAGCAACTTGTCAATTACAATTTAGATTTTCCTATCCCATTACTGATTTCCACAGAGGTTTCTGCTCATGGGGCTCTGCTCTGTAAGTTGCAATTCTCTGTCTCTGCCTGTCTCTCCAATTTTGGTGGTAGTGATTTGCCCTATGACCTCAGTTCTTCGATGGATCTAAGAGGAGTTGTTGATTTTCAGTTTATTCAGCTTTTTCTTGTTATGTGACTGGGAGTAATGACTCCCAAGCTTTTTACAGGCTGCATGGGAAACTAAAAGCTCAAATAATCACTCTTATATTCAACTTCCTTAATATTTAGTTATCTAAATTTCTCTATCCAAGGACAACAATTCTTTATTTCTCTCGATTCTGCCAAAAATGGAACAATTTCCTAAATACAATTTTTAGTGCCCTCCTGTCTCTAGATAACGACTTAACATTGAGTTTTACGTATCCCTTTTTACAAATGAAAATATAAATATCACAGTTCTAGGCCTTTAAGATACTGGGAGCAAATCTAATAATCTGATAAAAAGCTGTATTATTTGTTTTGATGGCACTTAATGGTTTATCCCTTTAAAAATGATAATTGTTTTACTTCAAAGTGGTAACTAAGCACACTCTTCATTTATGTAATAGTCATTTCTTGCTCTATTATATTTTCCCAGCTGATCAGACGCTGTACCTAACAGCTCTTCCCTCTGCAGAGAGGTTTTCTACTACTCAATCATACAGATGTTGCCTTTCTTTCAGATGACACCCACAACCGTGGTTGTGAAGATGCCAGCCACACATCACTGTTGGGAGTTCTTCCTGCCTCTGAAGCCACAAAATGACCTTAGGCTTCCAAGTCTCACCAGGTAAGTCGAGAAGTATTACTCTTAATAGAACTAATAATTTAATCTCCTGCTGTAACAGAATTAAACACATTTTTTCCAATATTTATATTACCATATATTATGTCACTGGTTTATATCCCCAATCTATCAAATATTCTGCGTTAGGCTCTGAAAAAGAGAGCGATTGGCGGGAAAGTTTTTCCTACAGAAAATTTACAGAGTTTGTCAGAATTGGTTTTGAGCACTGGCTGAGGCTGCAGATAGTCCGTCACTAAAAAGAGGTTGATTCAGGTCTCAGCTTCACATACTGCACATTGATAACCTCCATTGCTAGGATCTGTTCATTTTTACTATACAGAGTAGGATGTTCACATTTATTCTCTTAAGTGCAGCCTAGATTCAGTGCATTAATGTCACGCCTTATTGCTTTAATCGCCAGTGCCTGACAGATGATACATGCTTAATATTTATTAAATGAAGGTGGCCTTGTCTGATGAGAAAACATTAACATGATAACAGTGAAATCATTCTCTAGAGGTTTAGAAAAACAAGCACTCATTATATAATAATGTCATCGAGGCAATTCTAAAACACTTACTGGTGCCGGGGTAAAGAATTAAAACCAAAGTCAACTAAAAAGTCCAGCACAAAAAGAGCAGTGGTTTTTCTCAAGGACAGTGGGTGGCCCAACTATGGAGAGAAAAAATTGAACTCAGTGAAGTCGTAGGATTAGAAAGCACTGTGCTTTCTAAATAATGCTGAGAGCACTTTCTAATTCCTAGCATGAGTGAGCTGGCAATTCTGAAAAGAGCATGTCTGTGTAATCGAAAGCCAATTCTACATTTTTTATGGGAATAAATGCCAGGGTGCAAAGATAAGTCATCTCTCCTGATTTTTATTACAGAATATTTAGACACCACCAACACAAAACCATTTCAGACTTGACCCAATGATCCAAGTGAATGGGCTTCAGTTTCTCTCTCTTTTTTTTTCTCAAAAATATATTATTACCATAATAACACAACAAATGTTAGAAAAATCAGAGGTGAAATACACAAAAACCATTTAGATAATAACTAGCTCCGACATAATTTAATGATAACTCTTCTAATACCAAGGTTTATATTTATGGTTAAAGCTTCTTTCCTCTTTATGGACTACTGACAATTTCTCTATTTGGAAAAGTTCAGTGAAATACTTAAAATGTATCCTAAGGTGTATCTTATGGTGTTTTCATCTGCATGATATAAGGGACAAATGATTGAGTAGATTATTCTAAACCAGTTTCTAATAAATACCAATTTATATTAGCAGATTTTTTCTTTGCAAATGGATACTCTGTGTTGTTTCTGAAGTACTTGAAATTGATGCTTTATATTAGAAAAGGTTCTATATTAGAAAAAATGTTTCTTTCCCTCAGCAGCTCTGCTTAGTTCATTATTGTGCTTAGCGTATTCGTTTTCTAGGGCTGCCAAAACAAAATACCACAGACTGGGCAGCTCAAACAATGGAAGTTTGTTTTCTCACAATTCTGGATGCCAGAAGTTCGTTATCAAAATGTGGGGAGGCTTAGTTTCTTCTGAGGCCTCCTTTCTCCACTTGCAGATGGCCATCTTCTTATGTTCTCAGATGATCATCCCTTGGTCTGCGTTGTCTGTGATCTAATTTCTTTTTGTAAGGACATCAGTCATACTGGATTAGGGCTCACCCATATGACCTCATTTTACCTCAATTATCTCTTTAAATGTCTAATCTCCAAATACAACCACATCCTGAGGAAATGGGGTTTAAGACTTGAACATATGAATTTGGGGGGACCCAATTCAGCTCATAACACTGAGCAAGTCTATTACTTTACGACTTTTGCCCTGCCTAAACCTCATTAATCATCAATTCTGACTTAGCAGAATCCATGCTAAAAACTTTTGAAAGATTAATTTCCAGAGGCTTTCCAAAAAGCAAAGCCATATGTAATTATACTTCCTTTTTAATTTTGATGTTATTTAAAACTCAAATTTCTTTGATAAGTAAATTATTGCATTCTGGGATTCAGAATTCTAGATTGTGGGAGCAGGAAGAAAATTGCATAAAATCTGCATCTGCACAAAAAAGAAATATCACTACATAGCACCTACTAAATCCGCTCTACTTTATCAATGATTTGTAGGGTGTGTGTGTGTGTGTGTGTGTGTGTGTGTGTGTGTGTGCACTGCACACAAATGACTTAACTTTAACTTCATGTAGGCTAGCATTCTTATTTAGAAGAAAAATAACTTGTGTTCTCTTGTTTTATAATTTCAGATCAACTTCTAAATGTCTTTGAAGGAGACAGCAACTTTTAAATGAGTAAAGAGGAAGTCAAGTTACCCTATGGAAGACTGGTCCAAATAACATTTCTTGAAAAATAGAACAGCTAAGTTAATAAAGACTGGTGATAATAAAAGTTGAATTATGTGTATCACTGTTAAATAGACTGAATGTGTTTCCCTCTCCCCCTCGCCCCAAAAAATTCATACATTGAAATCCTAACTGCTAATGTAATGGTATTAGGACGTGGGGCTTTGGGAGGGAATTATGTCATGAGGGTAAAGCCCTCATGAATGGGATTAGTGCCTTTAACAATGGAACCTCAGAGACTCTGTCACTGCCCTTCCCTTATGTGAGTGTACAATGGTCAGCAGTCCACAACTTGGCAGGGGGCCCTCATCAGATCTGAATCATGCTGGGACCCTGATCTCAGGCTTATAACTTCCAAAACTGTGAGGGAAAAAAATTCGACTATTTATATGCCACCCAGTTTATTCTCTTATAGTAGCCCAAACTGAGACAATCACTAACTAAAAACCCACTCCATACCTATGTAGAATGTAGATCCTACTCCTGCTCAACAATGAAAAACGTTATTTGAAGCTGACTTGTGGCTGTTCTTGTAGTTCAAATTAGTGTAGTTCCATAGATATTTAAATGTAGAAAGCATTTTTAAAATTTAATGTCAGAATAGTCATCTTTATTTTTATCTCTGATGGATTTATTCATGACAGCTTTGCTCAACCGTTCTTGTTTCTAGCTTGGCTTTCTCAGATTTTGAACATATTGTTGTTCCTATAGGAATTATAACACATATAGTAACAAGTACCTACCACAATAGTAAGATAATGTTTTTTTTTTTTTTTTAAGCTGTAGGCTTCTGGAGAGGCGTGGTGGCTCATGCCTGTAATCCTAGCACTTTGGGAGGCCAAGGTGGGTGGATCACAAGGTCAAGAGATCCAGACCATTCTGGCCAACATGATGAAACCCTGTCTCCACTAAAAATACAAAAAGTAGCTGGGCGTGGTGGTGGGTGCATGTAGTCCCAGCTACTTGGGAGGCTGAAGCAGGAGAATCTGAGAGGTGGAGGTTTCAGTGAGCCAAGATTGCTGTCACTGCACTCCAGCCTGGCGGCAGAGCAGAGACTCCATCTCACCAAAAAAAAAAAAAAAAAAAAAAAAAAATGCTGTAGGCTTCATGTTCATGGAGCTGTTACAAGAGATGTAAAATAACAACATAAAAGAAGCCTAGGTTATTATTATTATTATTATTATTATTTTGAGATAGAGTCTTGCTCTGTCATCAGGCACCAGGCTGGAGTGCAGCAGCACAAGCTTGGCTCACTGCAACCTCCACCTCCCAGATTCAAGCAATGCTCCTGCCTCAGCCTCCCAAGTAGCTGGGACTACAGGCAAGCGCCACCATACCCAGCTAATTTTTGTATTTTTCAATAGAGATGGGGTTTCACCGTGTTGGCCAGGATGGTCTCGATTTCTTGACCTCGTGATCCGCTTGCCTCGGCCTCCCAAAGTGCTGGGATTACAGGGGTGAGCCATCGCGCCGGCCAAGGCCTAGGTTATTATAAAAGATATTTTTAAATCTTTAAGACCCTAAATAAGCTTTATTCATTTAGAGTCTCTGCCCACAAAGAGTTGGAAATCCTAAAAATCAGGAGACTTGAGGTCACAAATCTGATATATGAGAAAATGTAGAGAGTTTAAAGATTAAAATTTAATCCTAGCCAATTAATATATGTCTCATTAATATTGCTGTACTGCAGTAAAATTATTATAGATTCCTGAACTAAAATAAAGAGCTATCCCTATTTCTATGTTTGGAAAGTTTAATTTTAGTATAGCCTGTTTATGTTTCCTTATATTATAGACAAATATAAGAAAAAAACACATTTCTAATAGTCATGAGTGAAGGGGATACTTTAAAAACTACAATATTTGCCTTTTCTTTAACAATGATCTTTGAAAATGGTAATGATGCAAAATAGTAAATATTTAAAGAAAAATGTGGGCTTGTTGACATTTGAACGGCATGTGAAGATCATACAGAAACACAATAATAATTCAGGCTGGTCCGAGTGCAGTGCTGTTTACAACTAACTGATCACAATAATAATTCAATGAAGCCATTTAAAATTTGATATTTGTTATTATTTTATCAAGGGAATGGTAATTGAGGAGTTTCTGGTTGTTTTATCCCATGGCATCCTTAGCATAGAAGGCCATTCCTTTTTACCTTAGAAATTAACCAAGATAAACTGGTTATACAGATAGAAGGAAAGTAACCACCCATTGTCAGTAAAGAAAACGGTTAGGCTATCTTTTACATCCCAGAGATTGGGTTACAAAGAATATTTTAAAATAAATACATCAGGCATATCATTGGCCAGAGAGCATCTTTGAAGAGCAATGATTTCCTTGAAAGGAAATTAAAGTGTTGGTACCCCATACATGAAGGTATGTAAATTCAAGTAACCACAGTTTTAAAGAAATGAATTGAAAGCTATTGCAATTTCAGTGTGCTTTTAGAAAGACAACAGAGAGAACGATTTCCACACTTGGAATTAATTTCTTAAAAAACAGGATCTTGGTATGTGGCTGATGGTAGGCCCTCCTGACCCAGCAACCTGAAGACCCACTGTGAAGAGCAGCGGTCAAAGGAACTAGGGAAATCCTACAGTGTGATCAGTTTCTCTGCTGCAGGTAAGCAAAGGGAATCCCTTTGCACTGAATAGGGCACTGAGCTGCCCCGCTGCTTATGAATTCTTCATCATTCCTGCCTCCTTTTATGTTCTCCCTGAATGGCTAGGTTTGTGGGGCTAAGAACTTTATTTCCCGCAATCCCTAGCAGGAAGAATCTGGGCTTTCTTCCACCAGAGACTTATTCATGGAAGATTTGGTTTCACAAAGGTCTTCGCACTTGTCCTGAAAACTGCTAGCCTTGGTGTTACAGCATGGTGACCTTTAGCAGTACTTTCCTGGGGATTTTAAAACTTCCTGATGAGGGTTTTGTAAGTACAAATATTTTCTATAGCAAATCACTTCCTGCTTAAAATACCTAGGTGACTTTTTGTTTGTTGTCTGATTTTAGAGCTTTTGGTCTCCTTGAATTTGATTAACCCCGGAAAGAATTATATTTTGGAGATAATGGAACAATAGGGCCTTAAGAGTTGCATTTTCTTATTCCAAATAGTGAAACATGAAGAATGAAACAACATTGGCAAGAAATTTGTTGGGTAGACAAAGGAATAAAGAGTAAAAGAAATTATACTCAGTAAGAAGTTACCTAAGACTTAAGAAATAAGCAGTAGCCGGGCACGGTGGCTCACAGCCTGTAATCCCAGCACTTTGGGAGGCCGAGGCGGGTGGATCACGAGGTCAAGAGATCGAGACCATCCTGGTCAACATGGTGAAACCCCGTCTCTACTAAAAAAATACAAAAAATTAGCTGGGCATGGTGGCGCGTGCCTGTAATCCCAGCTACTCAGGAGGCTGAGGCAGGAGAATTGCCTGAACCCAGGAGGCAGAGGCTGCAGTGAGCCGAGATCACACCATTGCACTCCAGCCTGAGTAACAAAAGTGAAACTCCGTCTCAAAAAACAAATAAATAAAAAGAAACAAGCAGTGATAGGAAAGACACACAAGCCAAAAAATAAAAAGAGAACAGGAAAAAGGATTTTAAATTTTTTAAAGAGAATCATCAGGGTAATAAAAAGAATCAATAAAAATTAATTAAAAACATAGAAAAGGGGAGAAACAAAAAATAAAATGGGTCCGGGCACAGTGGCTCATGCCTGTAATCCCAGCACTTTGGGAGGCCGAGGAGGGTGAATCATGAGGCCAGAAGTTTGAGACCAGTCTGACCAACATGGTGAAACCTGGTCTCTACTAAAAACACAAAAATCAGTTGATCATGGGAGTGTGTGCCTGTAATCCCAGCTACCCAGGAGGCTGAGGCTGGAGAATCGCTTGAATCTGGGAGGTAGAGGTTGTAGTGAGCTGAGATTGCACCACTGCACTCCAGCCTGGGCGACAGAGTGAGACTCCACTTCAAAAAATAAAAATAAAGTAAAAAATAAAATGGAATAAAAAAGAATAAATGTGGCCCCCAGGAATTTCAGGAGCATCTATCTATCTATCTATCTATCTATCTATCTATACATATATATATATATATATATATATATATATATATATATATATATATATATTTTAAAACTACAATCACACAAAATAATACACATCCCAAGGAAACCCATGCAGACACAAGAGACTAACATTCATGGTTATTTTGAATATTTTCTTAATATACGTAGTTTTACAAACATCAGAGTAAATCAATCATATGGTTTGGATATTTGTTTCACCCAAATCTCATGTTAAAATGCAGTCCCCAAAGTTTTTGTGTGTTTTTTAATAATTTAAAATTATTTCCTTGCTCCTGCATGGTCTCAGAGCCTGGTCTGGGTCTCCGGGACATAAATCTCGATGCTGTCTGCACTCTCAGTGGCTGAGTTCTGCCGCACAGATTGGCCGTCAGGAGTCTCTTGAGGGCCTCCTGGCGCTGCTTGTCGCTGGCGTCTGAGGCCTTGTCACAGCTCACTGCCGGCTTGGATTTGGCTGGCTTCTTTGGGACTGGAGGGGGTGGTTTCTTCTCTTCCGATGTGGGCAGCGTTATTGCCAGCCAGGAATTTGTCCCTGGACTTCCCCTCCGCACTGCTCCATGCTCACCTTCCTCTTCTCGGGGGGTCTCCACCAGCTGCCAGCTGTTGGCCTTGAGGTGGTAGAGTTCATCGAACTTCATGCTGATGTCCTCGATGGACAGCTGTAGCAGGTCCCAGAACCCTGCCAGGTCCTGGGCTGTGGGGCGTGGGTTGGCGTCAGGGTTCAAGTTTTGCTCACAGAGGCCCCGGAACTGCTGGAATTTCTGGGACATCAGTAGCTGGGCACTTCCCACAGCACTGAGGACTTTTCCTAAGACTTCTTCAGAGAGGATGCTCTCTTTGGTCTCCTTGTCCATCTGGCAGCACCAGCCTTCCAGCCGCTGTTTCTGCCTGCAGTAGCTTTAGGAACCAGTAGCCATCTCTGCAGGCAGGCCCCTGGCTGTGCTGGCTCTGCTGGGGAGCTGGAGGAGGTCTTGAGCCAGGG